TGGTAACGTACATTTACTTTGAACAGTTTTCATTGTCCGCATGTTTGTTTTCGTGTTTGCTTTTTCATTTCATGAATGACAATAATTTGAGCATTTATTTTTATTTATTTATTTATTTGAGAATTTACAATCAGATTTTTTTGCAAGGGAGGTGAGACTATTGAATTGATTCTTTGCAAAAAATGGGCCATTCAATCTGAATAGTGTGAATAATAATCAAACTGCCTATAGAATTCTGATGAATGTTTGTATTGAAATGCAGACAAGCATAAACCGACCTAATTTGCCTTTGCAATGATAGATGACGGTAATATGAGCGTTACGGTAGTTCTTAAGACACGTTTAGAAAGGATGGTGATTTATAGAATACATACATTACTGAGAATTTCATCCGTTTTATTTTTTTTATTTTTCATTTTTTTTATAAATGATGTGAGAACAATTAAGAATGTATAAGATAAAAAAGTGAAAATGTTGAATTATCAAAAGCATAAAGTAAACTAAAGTAAAATTGTGTCTTAAAGATTACCAAATATATCATATTAAAAGTAATATTTCCCAAACTTGATCATTTTGAGTCAAATAAAACAAAGTTTTGTTTTTTGCAACTGTACTTATACATCATTGAAAGCCAGTAAAGCTTTTACAAACACTGCAACCGAGTATACATTTCCACTACTTTAAACTTTCAATGGATATTTAAGACCACGTTGTCATTTAGGGAGCAAATAAGTTGACTCTGATATATTAAAAAAGGATAAAATAATGATGAATCCTGTTTTAAATTTTTTTGTGTGAGATATTTTACAAATAACAAAATTCTCGAATTTACTTTAATGCCAATCAGACTGGTAATTTATTTTATAAAACGTGACATCATGACGAGAATTCAAATAAATATTTTAAAATGACCAACTGATAACATCAGAGCTGTTGATGTTGATATTCAAATATGATATTACACAATAAAATGTGAAGAAAGTCAATTTTAGAAATTAGTCTTTGGTTGTAAAATCTGATACATTATTACAGAGAACCCCTTTTTAGATAAAACAGAAAAAGAAATATTCAATTCATTTAATATTATATGCAAGCTGCTAGTAGAATATACGTATAGTTACAAACTTACAATCAATTAGACTTTTCTTTCTTTTTTTGTCCTAATTGATTGATCACTCTAACTGGTATATTGTGAAACATTTGGTATTAAATGGTATAAACTTCATATACATTAATTACATTTTAATCCAATTATTCCATTAAATGAAAAATACTAATTAAATTTCATGCTAAGGGTCACTCGACATTACAGTGTGTTTCCCGTACCTAAAGGGCTTTACACTTTTATATACATGTATAGTAAAGTCCAAAACGTTGGCAAATATTGTAAAGCTCATATTTCTTTTCAAACTTTTTCATAAAAATATTTTATAAAAATAATAACTTTATTGGAGGGCCAATTCATTTGTCAGTGATTTGTAAGGTAATATTTTAACAGCATTGTCGGGCATTTGTTTATAGATTTTAAGATCTCAGATATGTAAATGCGTCAAAATATTAAGGATTTAAAACTTGTAAGCTTGTGATGGTGAGGGATATAGTGCAAACATCTGTTTATACACGGCCAAATAATCTTTGAAACTCTTTATAACGAATTTACAGGATATTTGAACTTATAACATTTTCATAACGTCATGATATGTAAACAAATCTGGACGTGATTAACGTGCAAATTATAATAGACGAACGACGTTGCAAACGAATTAAGAATCATCTTCATAATTTAAAAGGTCTCGACTGTTTTAAAAAAAAACGTTATTCAAAGATGAAACTTCTTAAACATTTGCTAGAATTTTATGAACTCTTAAAATATTTTGATTTGGCAATGCTGTAAAATCATATTTATGTCAAATACTGAATATTTTCAAACAATTCTAAATCAAGATTTGTCATAGACAATAGACTAATAAAGAAAGATAATTAACAATATCAGTCGTTTTTTGATAATTTAATAAAAATTATGTTCTTAATTGCAGCATAAACGGCGTTTGAGTTCCAGATGTTTACAAAGTTGCTCAGACGAAAGTGATAATGACATTGCCCTACCGGTTGCCAGTAGAGGTTGTAGAGCGGCTATCTTTGTCACAAAAGTAAATAAAGGCAAACAGTTGTTATCTAAAGTATTGTCTTTTGTTATTCAATAAAAGTCTCAATTACTTTTGTTTACATAATATATGTTTTGAAAGGATACTGTATGCTAAAGTTTCTATTAATTTGCAAAGTAAGAATAGTTTAGAACAATTATTTAATAAGCTAATTATCTTTCTTTGTATATATTGAGATATGCTGAAATATGTAGAAATGTGATTCTTTTATGAAATGCTTAAAGATTCCAACTCACTGAATAAAAAGAATAATCTTTTTAAACGCTAAAATTTCTTTACATTTCCTTAAAATAATACAATATGGTAAGCTTTAATTAAGACCATTGTTTTAAGAAATCACGATTTTAACATATAAGTATAAAGACCATCTACTCGACAACATCACTAAATGTCAGGAGCATTGTGTTGAAATTAATCTTTGATAATCTAAATTGCTTTGAACGACTAGAAAATGTCATACAAGAGTGATAGGCTTTTCTTTCTCTATCCCATTGATGATTCCAATTATTTCACATTTGACGACAGATATTTGTTTCCAAAGAATCAATATTTGTTATGGATTTGTAAAGTTCTTAATGTTGTTGGTATAAAGTCTCCTGAGATAGTAAAGTATAGATCTTTTTACAATACGATTTTCCATAGCAACGAATGTTGCATTTCGCGCATGCGCATTCTGCGTAGGGCAAAAAGCATTATAACGATGTCTACAGTTTATCATACTTTAAGGCTTTAATAGATGTGATTTCATGTAATGTCACCCAAAAAATATTAATTTTGGGATGACTTAAGGCGGTAAGTACTGAAACGTGAATTTAAAATAGGCGGTAAGTACTGAAACGTGAATTTATTTTTAACATATCTACGAAAATGTGCGGGAGAAATAATTCAATTGTCAAACGGGCACACACATGTCTTTGTTTAAGGTATCATTTGACGACTTTTCCATCAGTAATTTTAATTGAAACAGCAGGGTGTTAAAGATAAAATTTTATTACTCCTGTATTACATAATATTACACAATTTGTATTGTACACTTCCTTTGAATAATAACTGGATTGGTCAGGCGGCAAGTGTCAAACAGATTGGCATGCGAACGTTTGTTCATTCAACCGGGACGTTTAAATATCATGATATAGTTTATCAGTTACGCTTATTAAAATGGTAATTTATGTAACTTTTAAATATACCGATCAATGTTTATAGATTTTGAGAAGAGAAAAATTGTGTGATGTGCGTTATTAAAAATAACATGTATTACGAAGAAGCGGATAAAATGTGTGTTATATCTTTTCCAAACAACCCATCTTAACTTCTCAAGATTTTGAAGAAAAAAAATTATTTAAAATCAATTTAAGTGACTTAAATTTTTCTGTTTGCATCACAGGCAAATCGGATAAAGGATATAATCAGGTATATTGAACACTAAAAATGCATTATCACCTGTTCTGATATTTTTTCTGAATGATAATTAATCTCGATTTAATGTAATATAATTTCTTTTGTTTTTAAATGAACTATTTCAACAGCAAATAAGTTGACTTTTTTGCTAATAGATATATTTCCACATCTTCTTTAAAAAAATGATCTCAGTGTCAGGTCTGTGATCGCAAATTCTTAAACAAGTATCTTTTCTATGCCTTTTTATGGCATCCTTCGCCACAAAGCTATAAAGTCATCTTTTCTACATTTGTTGAAAGCTATTTTATATAATTTTTTACCGTTTACCTTCAACTAACTCGGAATTGTCTATGAACCTCTATTATATTTCTATGTAGGGCGAAGCATTTTTTGCTCTACGCAGATTGCGCATGCGCGAGAAAATTCTAATTCCGGTCGATTTTTCATAGCAACGGACCGCGTCGTAAAAAGGTCTATAATGGATTTTTTTTTTAATCTGTAGGCCCAAAAATTCAAAATCACTTAAAAAATCTAGTTTCACCCTAGAAACTTATAAAAAGCCCATACGGCTGAAGAGGACCTATGAAATAATTTAATTCATTTTTAAAGATGTAATCATTTTGTATACTCTCGAAGAAAGTAAGATGTAATGCTGATAGAAACACTCTCGAATTCGTTCCAGGAACCAGCTCGTACGCGTCAAAATTCAATAAATTTAATGAAAAATTAACAAGTATTTATGAAAAATGTCAACTGAACAAACTTGAGTTATTGCAGCTAGCATAAGACACGAGTACATTTAAATTGCCAAACTGTTGCCAACATATCCACACATAAATTGCGGCTCTTCATACGTGAAGAACGAGATAAAGATGTGGTGATTCAGTCATATTTTGTACTTGTCAGATAAAAATAATACTTTCTTACTAGCATTTTAGCAACAAATAAGAAATGAAATATAAAATATTTAAACACTGAGCATATCCAAGACACATTGCTCCTGAATTAAGTTTTTCCTCAGAAACTTTTATTGTGGTACTAGTCAATTTGTTGTCTGATGTATACGAAGTACTGCCTTTTGTAATTGATGAAGTAGACACGCTTGAAGGCGTCGGCGTTAATGGCGTAGTCATTGTTGTTGGCGTTAATGGCGTAGACATTGTTGTTGACGTTAATGGCGTAGACATTGTTGTTGACGTCAATGGCGTAGACAATGTTGTTGACGTTAATGGCGTGGACATTGTTGTTGACGTTAATGGCGTAGACATTGTTGTTGACGTTAATGGCGTAGACATTGTTGTTGACGTCACTGTTGTCGGAATAATACACAATGTTGAAATGATCTCATCCACTTCGATTAGGCTACTATAATTTGCTATGGTCATTCCATTTTCTTCTGCTTTGAGCATTCCGTCTATACAAATAACGTTTACAGAGTCAGATTTTGGACCGTCCGGTATGGCATGTCCATTCCAATGCAGTGGCATGGGCCAGGTTACCGTGGCTGTTCAGAGTTGTAAATGTTATAGGGGAATAGTTGAACTCTGGTATTATACAATCACATAAGCATCCCATCTCTGTGGTATCCCACTGACCTGATATACACTCCGCAGCATTTGGTCCAAAATGTGTAGATACATCTTCCTTACAATTAATAAAGAGATAAACACCAAAAGTTTGTAACTCTGAAATACACGGCGAGTTTGTATTTGGGTATGGTGGACACTGCACGTCTTCACATGTTGGCCTCAATCCCCATTCACCATTTGCTTGACATCTAACTTGTGATGGTCCTATGAGAGTCGTCCCATCAAGGCACGTGACCTGTACGACACTACCATAGTGATTTCTTTCAATATAAGAGTTATCCTGGAATAAATCTGCGTCTTGTATTGACCCGAATTCCCCACAATCCCTTGCGGTACATGTCGGTGGCGTTGAAGGTAGCCACTCACCATCTATGCGACATAGCATTTTATTTTGACCGGACATCGCATGGCCTTCATTACAAGCAAATTGAATAACTGTACCAACTTCGTATGTTGGCGTGTTCTCTAATCGTCCGTTTTCTGGTGTTTCAACATGCGAACAGTAAATTTGTTCACACCGGAAGTTTCCGTCCGTCCATGTTGTACCGGAACAAGTGTAAAAGCGACTGGTTCCCACTGGATTATATCCGAGTTCACAATCATAGCGTATGGTGGTATCTTGTTGGTAAGGCGAGGTAGCAGTACCGTTGTTAGTAGCATTCGGAATACTTGGTGGATCCCCGCAATCTGCTTTGGTGACAGATATCGCTATGAGGTAAGAAAAGAACATAATGATGTAATCATTATAAGATAGAAAATAATGAAACAGAGAAAATATGATGTAGGTTATTTCTATCTATCATATACAATAAGATGAAAGTAAATAGAATTCCAATATACGAGTATAGGGTTGTTTGCACGAGGACTCTATGTAAAACAGAAAATGAATCACCAATACCATGTTATATATTTATACTGGAGCTTTTCTGTTTTCAGTTTGGACCACTTCTTTGTAAATAGGAGGGGTAATTGTATTACAAAGCCAAATTCTATGTCAATGTCAAACACACGAAATGTACATCATAATTCCCAACAAAAAATGTTGATAAAAAATGCAAGATGCTATTATCAGATCCCCGCATGAACTAATTGGTTTTGCAAGAAATGCTTGAAGTAATGCATCACGGCCTATTTTCTTTTACAAGTCAACAGATGAATGTACACATGCTCCAATACTAATTAACGGAAATAGTGGGATTTACCAGTTTTCGGTTACGAACCACTTCCGGTTATATGATTTGATTATTAAAATATGATTTAGCACATTATACGTATATAACTAACAAGAGGGCCATGATGGCCCTGAAATCGCTCACCTGTACATAGGCCCCCCGGGGCGGGGCCAATTTTAACCCAGGGGCTTTTATTTGAACAAACTTGGTAGACACCTATTTGAAGATATTTCATGGTAAATATCTAAGCTCTAGCTCTAAGAAGATTTTTTAAGTTTTACTATACACATTTAGGGAAAAACAATGATCCCCCACTCTGGGCGGGGCCAATTTTGTCCCCAGGGCTTTTATTTGAACAAACTTGGTAAACACTCACTAAAAGATAGTTCATGCTTAATATCTAAATTCTAGCTCTTTGGGTTTTATTTAAAAGAAGATTTTTTAAGGTTTTTACTAAATACATATAAGGAAAATCAATGATCTCCATGGCGGGGCCAATTTTAACCCCATGGCCTTTATTTGAACAAAAATGGAAGACACCCAGTAGAAGATGTTTCAAGCTAAATATCTTAGCTCTAGCTTTTTTTAAAAAAAGAAGATTTTTTAAGTTTTAACTATATACATAAAGGGAAAAACAATGACCCCCTGGGGCTGGACCAATTTTGACCCAAGGGCTTTTATTTGATAAAAACTTGGTAGACACCCACTAGAAGATAGTTCATGAATAATATCTAAGCTCTAGCTATTTGGATTTTTTAAAAGAAGATTTTTTCAGTTTTTACTATAGACAAATAAGGTAAATCAACCCCGGGCGGTGCCAATTTTGACTCCCAGGGCATATATTTGGACACACTTGGTAGACACTGACTAGATGATGTCTCATGCCAAATATTTAAGCTCTAGCTCTTTCAAGTTTCTTAAAGAAGATTTTAAGTTTTTTCTTTTGGTTGCCATGGCAACCAGTTTTCTTGGAATTAAGTTCTTTGAACAATTTTAAAGTTGACTACCAAAGGAACATTCCTGTGAAGTTTGGATGAAACTGGCTTAGCGGTTTATGAGGAGATGTTGTTAAAAGTAAAAGTTTACGGACGGAAGGACGGACGCCGGACGAAAAGCGATCACAAAAACTCACCAGGTCACTTTGTGACAGGTGAGCTAAAACAGCGTTTTACTTACCGATCACACTGCACAGCATTGCTGCAAAAAGACAACTCGACGACTTCATACTTTAAGACTGCCTTCACTTTTATCTGAAATGAGGTAAAGAATGTACAGTCAGTCATATCCGTCAAGATCATTCATGTAAATTTGACATAAGACACTTTTATAATAGAGGGATAAGTGCGAAGAAAACCCATTCGTCCCCATCCAGTACGTGGGACTGATTTGCCTTTGGTGTTGATCTATTTCCGCCATCTTGTTTTAATATAATGGCAAAGTTTTTTAAGATGTTACGTTACCGAACTTGTTTACATTTTAACCCATTACCAAGAATAATTTACATTTTCCTATTTAATCATTAAAGCTAAATTTAGCACTTAAAACTCATTTTTGAACGATAAAAATAACCATTTTTGACGAGTGTTTTTGTAGTATATACAGATGATTTCCGACGAACTCCGTGACAGTTATCACAAGAACTCCTGAACAAGTTATCATAAGACCTCCATCCTTCGTGTAACACTTCCTCCCAAGTGAGTATGGAATTGACACTAATAGAGCTTACGCCGGCGTGTGATAACGTTTTAAAATAATTTACAGATGTAGCAGACTTGATATAATGATAGAAGCCGTTCCAAATACAAGATCCAGAAACGAAATTAATCAGTATTTGGGATGTAAAGTTGAAAATCAGTGGATGAACTCAAATTGCGAGAATGAACGTCTGGCGATAAAATAAAATTATTAAATAAATTCATTATCTTGAAGTTATAATAATAAAATCAACCCTCATTGAAAAGGTCGTTCAGCAGATGGAGTATCATGATTTTTGTCTAGAATTAGTATTGCAGCTCTCTTCTGAAACTTAATGAGTTTATCTTTTAGGAAAGCTGTACAGTTAGTCAGTTACCGTAAATTATTCAATAATAGTCAAGATGTGGTATAATATATGCATTGTAAAACATTTTACTTACATGTATATTTATGAATATTTTTACACGAGATGAAAAGTGAAACAAGGAGCTGCATTATAAGAACATTATCAATATGGCTTTGCCAATTGAGTTATTGTATTACCAAATAATTATGCCCCCACTTTAGTGGCGGGCATTTAGATTTACCCTTGTCCGTCCTTCCGTCCGTCCTTCAGTCCGTCCGTTCTCTTTTGTGTCGCACGTAACTCAAAAAGTATTTGACCTAGAGTCATGAAACTTTACAAGAATTGTTGATCAGCATGTGTAGTTGTGCACCTGGGTATTTACGTCTGGATGTTATTGCCCTTGACTTAGTAAAATTTTGCAATTTTCAACTTGTGTCGCATGTAACTCAAAAAGTATTTGACCTAGAGTCATGAAACTTTAAAGGAATGTTGATCAGCATGTGTAGTTGTGCACCTGGTTATTTTCGTTTTGATATTTTTAGTATTTTTAGAGTAATTGCCCTTGACTTAGTGAAATTTTGCAATTTTTAACTTGTGTCGCATGTAACTCAAAAAGTATTTGACCTAGAGTCATGAAACTTTACAGCAATATTAATCAGCATGTGTAGTTGTGCACCTGGGTATTTTTGTCTGGATTTATTTAGTATTTCTTGAGTTATTGCCCTTGACTTAGAAAATTTGTGCAATTTTCAACTTGTGTCGCATGTAACTCCAAAAGGATTTAACATAGAGTCATTAAACCTTACGGGAAGGTTGCTCAGCATATTTAATATTGCACCTGGGGTTTCGCTTGTGGATTTATCCAGTATTTGTAGAGTTATTTCCCTTGACTTAGTAAAAACCGTTTCATTATGTTGTTATTTGTTCCTTGAGTGCTTGAGGTAGAATCAACCAACTTTACAGGAATAATGATCAACATCACTAAATTACAGGAATAATGATTCACATCACTGTGAAGCTATGCACCTGGGACTTTGTATGTGGATTTTTTATGCTCCCCGAAAAATTTCGGGGGAGCATATGGACATTTTAAAACTATTTTACAGAAATGATCACTTTATTGAAACGACGTGTCGCGCGCAACATTAAGGTTGCTACCTTGAAGGTCAATCTCACAACATGACCTTGCAGCAAAATCGTGTCCGGCCCATTACTTCGTTATTTGAAGTCGGATTTTAAAACTATTTCACAGAAATGATCACCATATTGAGTCAACTTGTCGCGAACAAGATTTGGGTCGCTACCATGAAGTTCAAGGTCACAGCATGACCTTGCAGCTAAATCGTGTCCAGTCCATAACTATATTATTTGAAGTCGGGTTTTTAAACTATTTCACAGAAATGATCATCATATTGAGACGACTTGTCGCGCGCAACATTTGGGTCGTTACGTTGAAAGTCAATGTCACAGCATGACCTTGCAGCAAAATCGTGTCCGGTCAATCACTTCATTATTTGAAGTCGGATTTTAAAACTATTTCACAGAAATGATGACCATATTGAGATGACGTATCGCGCGCAAATTTGGGTCGCTACCTTGAAGGTCAAGGTCACAGCATGAACTTGCAGCAAAATCATGTCCGGTCCATAACAATATTATTTGAAGTCGGATTTTTAAACTATTTCACAGAAATGATCACCATATTGAGATGACGTGTCGCGGGCAACATTTGGGTCGCTACCTTGAAGGTCAAGGTCACAGCATGACCTTGCAGCAAAATCGTGTCCAGTCAATAAAATAACTTCATTATTTGAAAAATAGATAAATACAGAATCCCTAAAGAAAGCCCTACACGACAAAATTGAAAATGTTGCAGGCTCGGTTTGATTGAGCCTGTTCATGGACGGTACTGGAAAGTGCAAGTTACCGTCAACGCCCCCTAGCACCGGCTTAAGCAGAATTCAACATTTAAACATGAAATAGTAAAATTTTGAATTTAGAAACATCCGCAGATGTGTTCATACGGCGGTTATCATGGAACCTTCAATGTGACACGTTAGTGCCATTCCATGAAAAGCGGCGTATGGTCCCCAAGTAATAAAAAGCGTGTGCCCTAAACGAGAAAACAATGGGCGGAACTAATTAAAATGGAATTTTGAAAGGGGATCAGAGGTTATGAAGCCTGCATATCACAGATAAGACGTCAAAAGACAAATTTAAAAAGCAGGCAACATATCCTAAGGGTGATTCAACATTATTCAAGTAGGAATATTGGAACCACCCAACTAGAAAATGCCGAAAAGTTGAAACTAAAAATACCACAAGCACAACAATAATGTCGTGCTGAACGATCTTTAAGAATCGAAAATATAGCATCATTGATTAAATGTACGGGGAGACTTTTTACAGCCGCCACACGGTACAAATAACACGGATGTGATCATAAAATAGATAAATACAGAATCCCTAAAGAAAGCCCTACACGACAAAATTGAAAATGTTGCAGGCTCGGTTTGATTGAGCCTGTTCATGGACGGTACTGGAAAGTGCAAGTTACCGTCCACGCCCCCTAGCACCGGCTTAAGCAGAATTCAACATTTAAACATGAAATAGTAAAATTTTGAATTTAGAAACATCCGCAGATGTGTTCATACGGCGGTTATCATGGAACCTTCAATGTGACACGTTAGTGCCATTCCATGAAAAGCGGCGTATGGTCCCCAAGTAATAAAAAGCGTGTGCCCTAAACGAGAAAACAATGGGCGGAACTAATTAAAATGGAATTTTGAAAGTAGATCAGAGGTTATGAAGCCTGCATATCACAGATAAGACGTCAAAAGACAAATTTAAAAAGCAGGCAACATATCCTAAGGGTGATTCAACATTATTCAAGTAGGAATATTGGAACCGGATTTTAAAACTATTTCACAGAAATGATCACCATATTGAGACTATGTGTCATGCATAACATTTGGGTTGTTTTTACGCTTTGAACTTTGTCTATGACATACCTCTGACACTTAAAGAGGTATACCTTCCTGTGTCCAAAACCGAATCGGGGAGCATCACCCGGTTCAACCGTCTCTTGCTTTAGTTATGTTAGAGTTAATGCCCTTGACTTACAGTAGTATAAATTTGCAATTTTCAACTTGTTCATGCATCGCTCAAAAAGTATTTCACTTGTAGGCCTGAAAGTTTAAAAGAATGTTGGTCAGCATGTGTACTTATGTACCTTGGGGTTTGCTTGTGGATTTATTCACAGTTTTTGTAAAGTTCTTGCCCTTTACTTAGTAAAAGATTTTTAGTTTTCAAAAAATATTTGACCGAGAGTCATAAGATTGAGAGAACAGTAGCGCGGTGGGGGCACCCGTGTCCTATGGACACATTTCTTGTTTTTCTTTAAAGTTATATATACAAACAGTTTGCTCAGTTTTATACGAAATATAATGATTAGTTTCACAAATATTATTTTACCTATGTTTTGAGGAAATATGCATGACCTTTGTTTTTGTAGTATTGATAATTTGATTCAATTCACACCATTTGTTAGCATTTTAAAGATCATGAGTCTTTAGGGATACATCAGAAGTTGAAAGGCTGGTATCATCAGCAAAAATATCAGTGTGTGTTAATTTAACAAAGGTAGGTGATTGATATAGATTTAAACTATATAGGACCTAGCACTGAACCCTGAGGAACACCAGTAGTTATACTGAACGTGACTCTGAATAAAAACCAGATATGTAAGTTTTTTGGATTCTGCTATCAACATTATATTTATGGTTATATTTATCTGGTCCCCCGGGACCATCGATTCCAACACTTTTACGTGTTGAAAATTGAGTACCGCTCAAGTGAAATGGCTTTTTTTGTAGCGAAATGTCAGTGTTCTTGAATAGCCATATATCATTTTTCTTGGGTAGCGAAATGTCTTTGATTTTCAAAGTTTAGGTAAACCAGCATATCTGTTTATCTGAAGCACATTTCGGTGTTCCATATGAAGATGGTATCTCCTGTTTAATTCAAAAGGCACGTGTAACAAGAGCTTGTCGTAGACAATGCACAATGCAGAAGATTTGGATGGAAAGAATGACAGATAGGTGAACGAACAGGTTGAAAAAAATAAAATAAAATAAAATGATGTGCATAATTTCCATATGACTCTCCATCCATTTACCAAGTATCGTCAACCTAGCTTTTGTAATTTCT